CCTCGCACCGCCACCACCCTGCCCTGCCAGTAAAGCCCCAGCCGGAGCCGCCCCAGCCCCACTGCTGTGACACAAACACACCGTGTCCTAGGGGAGAACTGCCACAGCAGACTTGCAATTGGCTCGCAGGAAGCAGACTGGTTTAGAGACCTGGAAGATGCTGCTACAACCAACCGAGTTGTCCTTTCACCCAGTTACAAAAAAGCCAACTCACATTTTGTTGTATGCAAGTTATTTTACATTGGGAAACAAGAGCTCAGATATTGGTTATGAAACAGTAAAGAACAGATGGGAACAGGAAACCAAGTCAAGACCTGTCAGAGAACGGGGGCAGCATGCTCAGAACTTGCCGCCCTCCTCCTCCTCCCCCCTCAATTTGCTCCCAGACTGGAGCTGGCTGTAAATACCAAACTGCCAGCGCCCGACGGGCAGCCGGCGCTTGGCAGGCAGGGGAAGCTCACTGGAGGTGGCGGGCAACAACTCCCACTTCCCCCCACCGCGCCCCTTCAGAAAGCAAGGCCAAGGATTCAGAAAGCACAACCCAGTTTTTGAAAGCCTGTGTGACAGTGCACTGACCACCTGCCTTCACACACAAACCCCACCCCCCCAGCACAGCACGGTGCTTCAGGCTGGCAGCTTCAGGAGCCTGCTCCATTTGCAACATCTCCAAAAAAATTGCTTGAGTATCAACACCCATTAAACCTAACTTGAGGCAAATCATCATTTTTTCATATCAAAATGGTCTTGAGATCTCCGAGAACTGCCCAAACTGCCCAACTTTTCCACCGTACTAGCTTGCAGTGGCACTGCAGAGCGAGCAGCAGTAACTGTAGATGCAACAAGAGCACAGCTAGTACGCAGATGGAAAGCAGCGACTGACGGCAAGACAACAGCAGGCGTCGTTCCGGGCGGTAACAGACAAGCCAGTGACACGGCTCATTCTCAACACTTTTATTTTTACAGTTCTAGGTTTGAACTGTACATGCAGAGTTGCATAAGTCACAATAGAGATTTACAGTGGATTCTATTCTATGGTAGAGTGCAATCCAGAATCCTGAAACAGTATAAAAAACAACTTTAAACATCAAGACCTTGTTAGGAGCAAAAGGGTTAAAGCTTCCCCAAGTATTTCAGCTCTCCTGGATACCTAGTTACTAGGTACTGTATGTTAGATATATTTAGAGTCGAAGAGCTGTAGAACACTAAACAAACTTGAACATCCTGATGTCATACCATCTTCGTTAGTTCTTTCCCACATTTCTGGCAATTAAGAATAAGTCAAAAACCCTGCCACCTGCAACCAGCTAATACAGACAAAAATAACTACTCCTTACTTGCCTGTTTAGGGTTGTACAGCGTTAAAGAAAATATTCCCTCAACAGCATTTGTATCTCACATCAGCTGAAAAAGCAATGTAACAAAAATAAAGGTATAACATCTTTGAAAATAAATATAAAGAGGGAATGCAGACAAAGTGTCAAAGATTTTTTTTTTGGCAGGTAACATTCATAATATACAAAATATAACTTATTCGTATTAGCCAAGGAAACATTCGTGAGTTCCTGTAAACTGTTTTAATCCACCTCCTCCATGCGTGATGTGTCATCATCTCCTTCAAGAGGCGGCATCTCCTCAGTCACCGCTGGACTGGCTTCTTCTGCAGCAGTGTCATCTTCATCAATGCCTGTTCGGGAAACACACGTACCGTTACTGCTGGCACCAGAACACCAAGCTTTATTCTCCTCAGCACTTCGACTGATCCCAGGGTTCCCCATTTTTCCACCAGTACAGAGAAGCCCCAAGGGGATCTCCAGACACCCCCCTCCCTGCAAGGGTGTGCAACCACACCCAGAGTTTACTGGAGACAGGACAGATTCCTAACTCACCCAGGCCAAGTTTGATCATCCTATAGATGCGGTTGGCATGTGTCTGAGGATCTTCTAAACTGAAGCCAGAGGACAGGAGTGCCGTCTCATACAGCAAGATGACAAGGTCCTTCACAGACTTGTCATTCTTATCAGCCTCTGCCTTCTGCCTCAGTGTTTCAATGATGGAATGATCAGGATTAATCTCCAGATGTTTCTTTGCTGCCATGTATCCCATTGTGGAGTTGTCTCTCAGTGCCTGCGCTTTCATGATCCTCTCCATATTGGCAGTCCAGCCGTATGTACTTGTTACAATACAGCACGGAGAAGTAACTAAACGATTGGACACAACAACCTGGAGAAGTGAATATAAAGCAAAAGTTTGGAATCTAGCATTTCACCACTTGCACTTGATTTTACTATTCCCACAAATTTCACAGGCTCATAAAACCATTTAGGCTGGGAAAGACCTTTAAGATCAAGTCCAACCATCAACCCAAGTCCAACTTTGAAATGCTGCTGCACAGGATTTGTGTACACAGAACCACCTAGCGACACCTTGTATCTATCCTGCAGAGAGCCAATTGTAACAATGTTGCCATCTGAGCCTTCTCTGCAGCAACTTCATTTCAGATCACTGAACCTCTTGTTACATGTAGACAAAGCAAGCACTGCTAATTACCTTTTCTACTTTCTTTTCAAGGATGTCTTTCATTATTTTGCAAAGGTTTTCAAACTTGGCTTTCTTCTCCTCCTGTTTCTTTTTCTCTTCCTCATCTTCTGGAAGCTCCAAACCCTCCTTTGTTACAGAAACCAGGGTCTTGCCTTCAAATTCCTTCAGCTGCTGCACACAGTATTCATCAATAGGCTCAATCATGTAGATCACTTCCAGGCCGTGTTTGCGAAGACGCTCCACAAAAGCAGAGTTGGCCACCTGATCTTTTGTTTCACCTGCAAGAAGAATGCCACAGTTGTGGTTTGAGCCTCAGCACTGGAGGGTGGAAGCTTGTTTATTTTCTAGAAGAGCCTATGCAACATTCCCAGCAAGTACAACAAGCTACAGCAAAGGTTAGGCTGGCCTGAAGAAACTCCAGGCTTTCAAGTGACACCACAGCTTGTAACACCTCACTGGTCCTGAAAGTAAATTTCAATTTCCTGAAATGCCAGGCAAGAAATCTTTGCTATTCCTCCCAAGGGGGAAAACTGAGAAGCCCTGTACCCTTTTCAAAAAAGCCTTAATATCAGGTGCCCAAATAGCAAATTAAAATTTTGAGCATTAAGGGCTTGAAATTTCAGATACTCCTGGACAAATTTATTAGCCAAAGCCAGAACACAAAGCTACCCTGAAGTTTGAAGCACAAGGCATACTTTTCTGGACTTACAGGGAAAAAAAATGGTGGGTAAGCTAACTGTGCAAGGGGCACTTTACAACCTCAAACTGGCTTCTCCCACACCTTCAAGGTGGCAGCAGTGACACTGAACATTCCATTTCAAGAGCAAGGTCATAACTGAAGAGCAACTGTTTTATTATAGCTCATTAAGTGGTACAGTTCCTAAGGACAGCAGTTAGCACTGAAGCAGTCAGTTTAATCAACAGGGAACATGGTGAGTAGCACTCATGGTCCCAGCAAGTTTGCAAGATGGAGAAGGTAATTACCTGTAGCTAGTTCTGCTGTCCTCATGGGCATAGTACCATATTAAGGAACTACAATTTTACTTGACATGGTTTTAGCACCGTGCAGCACCCACCAATTTCAGAAATACTGTAGTACTGAAAAGAGTCACACGCTAAGGTTTCTCCATCACATACTCAACTGACACCTCAACTGATGTTTGGGTGAGCAGCACAACTTAGGCAGAGACTGAAAAGGCAACTGTTTTTCCAGGATGAATTACATTGTTGCTGTAAGGTATTTTTCACTTAACCCCCCAGTTTCTTTCTTTCTAGATCCACCACAAGAACTGCCATAATTATTTTCCATTTTCTAACCCCCCAAAAATAGCCCTACATGTGTACCCGCATTTACAGACGATTTCTGTTACTAACTCACCAGTAATGTAGTAGACGTGCTTCTGGTTCTCCTTCATACGAGTGCAGTAGTCCTTCAGAGAAACCATTTCATCACCAGACGCAGATGTATAGTACCTCAGTAATTCTGACAGCTTCTTGCGGTTCTGGGAGTCTTCATGTATACCAAGCTATGAAGTGAAAGAAAATAAAAAATGATTCTTTCAGATAAATACTGAACTGTGGTAGTTCAGTATTTCAGGCCTAGCTGAAAAAACTGCAGCTTCTACAGTCAATAGTATAAACAGGAAGACGACCAACCTTGATGTTCTTGGAGAACTGCTCATAGAACTTCTTGTAGTTCTCCTTGTCTTCAGCCAACTCAGTGAAGAGCTCTAAGCACTTCTTCACTAGGTTCTTCCGGATCACTTTCAGGATCTTGCTTTGCTGCAGCATTTCACGAGAAATATTCAGAGGTAAATCCTCAGAGTCTACCACACCTCTCATGAAATCTGGAAGACAATAGGGAGAATAAGTTTTCCAGGTGTCAGAGAAATCAAGATTACCATCCACCACCTAGGTGGCTTTGCCCTTTCAAAATTATGAATTGGTTTCTACAGAATTCGAGACAACACAAACTAAGCAGTACTTTCTTCAACTGCTCACATACTTGCTAATCAGCTCTGTTTAGGGCTGTCTTCCCTCCCTCCCACAGATTTCCTTAAACACGAAGGGAAACTACGAAGTTGCTAAGCAGCTTCTCTTGTATTTCGGGAAACGCCTTCCTCAAAAATATACTTACTCAGATATTCAGGGATCAGTTCCTCACAGTTGTCCATGATGAACACTCGGCGTACATACAGCTTGATGTTGTTCTTCTTCTTCCTGTTTTCAAACAGATCAAAGGGTGCACGCCGCGGGACAAACAGGAGAGCTCTGAATTCCAACTGCCCTTCCACAGAGAAGTGCTGTGAGGAAACAAGACAACCATTTTCATTAGTCTGTACAGCTCTCACTTTAGTAACCCTTCAACAGCTCTTCGAATGCAGAAGGCAAACAGCAACCACCTGAGAGCTCAGGAAAAAATTCACAGTAGGCAAGACATTGGTCAGCAACAAGCACGTTCTCCAGGCAGACATACCCAAGTTCTGTTCAGTTGTTACCAAGCAAGCAGACGAATATAGTGGGCTTCAGGAAGCACGTGTATTCTTACACCACTTCCCACTACAAATACGCAATAAGGACAATTACATCTCACTTATCCATCCCCCTTAGGCTTTAGGCCTTTTCAGAACTGAGCTACAAACCAAAGAATTAAATTTACATTTACTTAAAATCTGAATTTTTCCACTACATTTGGTAACAACTAAGCTATGAACTGGGAAGGCATCTGCAATTACTTCTATTTACAATAAACTGAAGTATGATTTGATTAAGGTTGTAAACACAGCCTTAACAGTAGCCAGAGTAATTGTAGCAGTGTCACCCTCACATAGTGGATGTGATGTAAACAACAGTACCCCTCCAGATACAAAGCTACCTTTAACAGTAAGATCAGAGGCAATTGATCAGAGTTCAGTAGCATGTTCAGCAAGATTCCAGTTTTAGCACCAAAACCAAGCGTGCCAAGTACAACTTACTTTGACAGCCAAATGGTCTTCCCAGTCATTAGTTAGGCTCTTGTAGAATTCCCCATATTCCTCATTGGTAATGTCATCTGGATTCCTGGTCCAAATGGGCTTGGTCTTGTTGAGCTCTTCCTGATCAATGTACTTCTCCTTAATCTTCTTTTTCTTCTTCTTATCTCCATCCTTCTTTTCTTCTTCTTCATCAGAACCAACATCCTCAATCTCTGGCTTATCTTCTGTCTTTTCCTCCTTCTCTTCTTTTTCCTCTTCCTTCTCCTCAGCCTCATCATCGCTCACCTCCTTATCGCGTTCCTTCTCCACCTACAACAGAGATCATTAGTTGAACTGAGAAGCCTTTAAGTTGTATTAACAGCCCTGAGGTATCCCCTGTAGTCTCACAAAGCTTAGGAACTACATGAACACGGCATCAAGTTTTCCTCCTGGACTCAACTAGGGACTTGCATTCTGGGCACTGAGACACAGGTGGTATTTTGTTTCCATGTGCTCATGTGGCAATTTATGCCATTCAGTTTCATCACACTGAATTTCCAGTAGCACTACATTGAGATGTAGTTAATTGACTCAAGGGTTTGGAGACTGTGATACTACTAGCTTGGTAAAACACATTTTTTCACTTAGTTTTGTAAAATAAAGTTGTAATTAACAGAAGCACATTTCAAAATAGCTACATCCATGTAACATCTGTAACGATTTTAGTAAAATATACATGGATTGCTCATTCTTAAATTTCAAAAATCCACTTTTCTTTAAGGTGATGAGACTTAAATTTCTGAATATTTCAGCGAGGTACATACAAAGAGTGTAATAGGATAGCCGATGAACTGAGAATGCTTCTTCACAATTTCCTTAATTCGCCGTTCTTCCAGGTATTCAGTTTGATCTTCTTTAAGATGCAGGATGACTTTTGTTCCACGACCCAGAGGCTCACCTAGAATAGAAGTTTTGTACAAGTTTTACTTGTGCAGGAGCAGACCAGGCTTTGACTAATTCTAAAACATGCTTTCTTTAAAAAGGCACTCACTCCTGCGTCAGCAATTTCTCTGCCACTGGGAAAATGTAGGCATCTGTGTACAGAAACGGCCTTACAGACCCCTCCTTGAGCTTGCTGCATCCAGCATGCTTTTCAAATAAGCTTTTCACTAATTCATGTGTTCACATCATCTTCCAAGTTTCTGTACATAGAGTTGTTGCAGAAGTCTACAGAACTATTTCCACATATAAGCTTTGAAAGCTTAGTCTCCATGATAACGTACCATTTACTTCAGGCATTCCCTTATGTACCAAGTTACTCCAAGTGGGATGCTAATACAACAGCTGTGCCTGTGCTCAACCTGACAGATGACCTACCTGGTTTATTGGTTGTTTTTGTCTTTTTCAATGCACAGACCAAATGCCAAAAATCTTCAAAAAGCATACTTGAGCAGAAACATTTACTACTTACCGTTATCAAGTCTGACAGTGAAAGAGCCTCCAGCTGATGACTCCCAAGCATACTGTTCATCATCATTGTGCTTGGTGATCACGGTCACTTTTTCTGCAACCAGGTAGGCAGAGTAGAAACCAACACCGAACTGACCAATCATGGATATATCAGCCCCTGCCTGCAGTGCTTCCATGAAAGCCTTGGTACCAGACTTGGCAATAGTACCAAGGTTGTTGACCAGGTCAGCTTTGGTCATCCCTATGCCTGTATCCACAATGGTCAGAGTGCGATCGTGCTTGTTTGGAATCAGGTTAATTTTCAGGTCTTTTCCGGAATCCAGCTTGCTTGGGTCAGTCAAGCTCTCATATCTTATCTTGTCCAGAGCCTGTAAGAGAAGAGGCAGGCTTTGACATTCCCTGACTATTCCTAAAAATTTCAGTGGTCTTATTGACATGAACCAGTCTAGAGTCAAGGTACTTACATCTGATGAATTGGAAATCAGCTCCCTCAGAAAGATTTCCTTATTGGAGTAGAAAGTGTTGATGATCAGAGACATCAACTGAGCAATCTCAGCCTGGAAGGCAAAGGTCTCCACCTCCTCCTCCATTGGTTGGTCCTGGGTTTGCACAGCTTCCGGCATCTGTGAAGAGAGGGAGTTGAAATCCCATTCCAACAGCTTGGTGGCACGTACACTTCTACAGGCAGCGGCAACAATGGCATTCCGAGATAAAAGTATTTAACCACGTGGTTTAAACTACATAAAAGATTCTAACTACAAATTTGCCTTTACATTCACTTTGGTTTCCACTATTTAGGCTAACACAACTTTTCCTCACTCCTCCATTAATTTACAAATTAATGTATGACCCCTTACTTCCCCTTGTCACAGACCAAGCAGACGTTACAAAAAAGAGAAATGCAACTGAGAACTTCGCCTGGCATTTAACAGGTGACTTGCATTACTCTGTAATCGAGTCTCACGGTAGAGTCTCTACTTGGAGCACTTTCCTTCTCTCCCATCCACCTCACGTTGGCCCATACAACTATCATCTTCAGATGCAATCACTAGTCCCGACTGCAACTAATGTAGCAATACGGGCCAGCCGAACCCGTTACCGTCCTACCCAGATCGGTTACCCGAACCTGACCGGCCACCCGCTGCCCAGGCAGCGCATCCTCCGCACGGGAGGCAGCTCCGGAACGACACGTTCCAACTCAGACAGGAAAACCCCTCTCTCCCACCACGACCTCGC